TCACAAACTACCTACTCACACACCATCTACTCACAAACAACCTACTCTCACAAACTATCCACATTCTCAAAGCACGCAAGTTGTCACAGATGTAATTTTCTATTTAATTTTTTTGGAATGTGCAGCAAAACGAGTTCCTCCTGTCAGGGCAATCGACCATGACTGAAACTACACTTTTTTTCCGAGAAATTATAAACAGCCAGAGCTAATATAGTCCCTCTCACATTAAGCAGCGCCTCTTCCCACGAACCTACTCTCTAAACACAGAGACAAGTAATGAACACCTTTCATGACAGCTCAAGGTTCTCTCTCTCTCTCTCTTTGATATATATATATATATATATATATATATATATATATATATATATATATATATATATATATATATATATATATATATATATATATATATATTATATATATATATATATGTCGTGCCGAATAGGCAGAACTTGCGATCTTGGCTTAAATAGCAACGTTCATCTTGCCATATAGGACAAGTGAAAATTTGTGTATGCAATAATTTCGCCAAAATCATTCTGAATCTAACGAAAAAAATATATTTCGCTGTGTTTGTTTAGTATTTAGTATTAAATTAATGTTGCAGTTTAAAAACTGTAGTGTAAAGCACCCTTCTGGCAAGACAGTGATGGAGTGAATGATGGTGAAAGTTTTTCTTTTTCGGGCCACCCTGCCTTGGTGGGAATCGGCCAGTGTGATAATAAAAAAATAATAAATAAATAAATTATTGTAAACAAATCCAAAATATATTTAGTTGGGTTAGGCTAAAATAAATTGTTCTTGTTATAAGAGAGAGATTTCGTTCGGATTTTTAACCCCGGAGGGTTAGCCACCCAGGATAACCCAAGAAAGTCAGTGCGTCATCGAGGACTGTCTAACTTATTTCCATTGGGGTCCTTAATCTTGTCCCCCAGGATGCGACCCACACCAGTCTTTAACACCCAGGTACCTATTTGCTGCTAGGTGAACAGGACAACAGGTGTAAGGAAACGTGTCGAAATGATTCCACCCGCCGGGAATCGAACCCGGGCCCTCCGTGTGTGAAGCGGGAGCTTTAGCCACCAGGCCACAATAATAAGGTTAGGTAAGTTTTCTAAGATTCTTTTGGTGCAAAATTAAATTTTTTTACATTAACATTAATGAAAAAATATATCTTTAAACGTATAAGAGAAAATTTTAGAAAGGTCTTAATTTTAAATGAGATCTTGCTTATTGACAATTTTACTTTATTCGGCCTCGACTATATATTATAATAGATATATAATATATATATAATAATATATTTTAATATACTATTTTATATATATTCTTATTATATATATCTATAATATTATATATATTGATATACTATCAGATACACCATATATGTATGTATGTATTGTGCGACGGGCGCATTGAGGAATACTCGTATCTGGGTTTTCAATGTTCTTTGGATGAGAAGTTTCGCCCATCAGGGGTATTTATCATGCCAATTTACACTCATGCTCGCGTGAAGACACCTAAACATCCCTCCCCCACACACCTGAATACCCCCCTCCACACACACACACACACCCACACACACATAAATACCCCCTCCACACCACACACTCCACACACACACACCACACCTGTAAATACCCCCCTCCACACAAACACACCTAAACACCCCCACACACACATAAATACCCCCCTCCACACACACACACTAAACACCCCACACTCACACCTAATACCCCCTCCACACACAACACACCCACACCACACACACACACACACACACACACACACCTTAAAACACCCCCACATCACACACCTAAATACCCCCTCCAACACACACCTAAACACCCCAACACCACAGAACCTAATCACCCCCCTCCACAACAACACTCCCCTAATACCCACGTCCACACACACACACCACAACCCCCTAAAACACCCCACCACACACACCTAAAATACCCCCTCCACACACACCTCACACCCCTAAACACCCCACACACACACACCTAAAAACACTCCTCTCCTCCACACACAAGTAAACACTCCCTCCCCCCTAACACAATCCCTAAAATACCCCCCCCACACACACACCTAAACATCCCCCTCTCAACACACACGTAAAACCACTCCCTCCCCCCTACACACATCCCTAAATCCCCCCCCCACACACCTAAACACCCCCCTACAACACGACACTTGAATACCCCCTCTCACTAACTTAAACACCTCCACACAAACCCCCCCTCTCCTTGCGTGCAGTAAGGTTACAACGAAGAGTAAATGGAAACACAAGTTCTTTTCATCCGCCTCGAGTGAAATAGCTTTCACTCTGGTTCTAAACTCACCAGCAGCGCCCATAATTTCCCTAAACGAACTTGTTAGGCGCTCTAAATAGGCCTATGTAACATCTGGGTCAAGAGGCTACAGTCATCTCTTATTCTTGAGATCTTAATAAAAAATCAGTTTGGGATTCAATGTTCATACTCGAAAGGGTGAACTAATACTGACCTCCTCCCTTTGGAAAGTGTTGAACTTTCTCCCGTCTTCCACAGTCTAATTTCCATAACCTTGGGGGACTTGATAACTCATTTCTCCAGTAATATTCTCTGTATTAGAGTGATAATTCCACTGATGGGCGAAACATCTTCACAGTAAAAGATACCCAAGTGTTTCCCACATATCTTATTCATTTACATGTATATTTTTGGTGGCAAAACACATATATGTTCAACGTTTCCCGGACCGGGCGCGAGGGCGTGACCCCGGAACACCTCCAGGAATACCCAGGAATGCCCAGGAATACCCAGGTATACCCAGGAATACCCAAGAATACGCAGGTATACCCAGGAATACGCAGGTATACCCAGGAATACGCAGGTATACCCAGGAATACGCAGGTATACCCAGGAATACGCAGGTATACCCAGGAATAGCTGGTTTCACAGGAATACGCAGGCTCCTTTAATACCCAGGAATACCGGGGGGCAAAGGCTTTACCTAGAAAATACCTGGAATAACAGTAAATACCCTGAACATGCCCAAGAATAGACCCAGGTATCCAAAAACACCCTGAAATACCAGAAAAAAATACCCAGGAATAAAGGTATTTTATCTCAATTCCCACTAGAGGACGCCCAAAGTTCTGATTGATTTGCATTTAGGCATGTCATGTGTCACTTATACCATTGACGGGGAAATTCAGATTACTCCTGAACGGAAGGTATAAAATATTCCCACCCTGGGTCAGGAACAATGATTTGTCATCGAAAAATCCCAAACGTAGGGGATTGACGTCCCGTGGTGTAAGAGGGATTACATTGCACTGTTCTAGAGTTATGCATATTTACATTAATCCTTTAGTACGAATATTTCGTTACGTGTCAAGATATTGAAAGTTATTTAAACGTTGGTCTGGGTAGAGGTTTATCAAGTCGCGATATCCCTCTGGGTTAGAGCTTTTATCAAGCACAGTTTATCCCTCTGGGTAGAGCTTTATCGCAAAGTCACAGTATCCCTCTGGGTAAGAGCCTTTTATCAAGTCACAGTATCCCTACTGGGCGCAGAAGCTTTATCAAGTCTCTAGTATCCGCTCTGGGTGTGAGCTTTATCAAAGTCACTGTACTCCCTCTGGGTAGAGCTTTATCAGTCACAGTATCCCTCTGGGTAGAGCTTTAGTAAAGTCACAGGAGCCTCACGGGTAGAGCTTTTATCAAGTCACCGTATCCCTTGGGTACGAGGCTTTATAAAGTCACAGTATCCCCTGGGTAGAGCTTTATCAAGTCACGGTACAATAAAAACTTACCTTACGGAAGGTGTAAGTTGTCCCAAGAGATGCAGTCAACACACACTTACCTGCAAAGTAAATAAATTAATACCCGACTTACACCCTTCAGTCATAAGTTCCAACTTACACCTTTATGACGAATGAACTCAAATTAAGATTTATTAAATACCTGTCAACTGGTATAATTGATTTGTTGTCAGTTAATACGAGTCAGATTAATGACACATCAGCAACACCTGGGTAACTTATTCTGGAGACGTTTCGCACACCAGTGGCTTTACCAAATCAATGTAGAAAATAATTACTGGAGACGGTGGAAAATTGTTGTAGTGGTTTGAGGGTTCATCCCTCAGCCTTGTATATAAAGTGATCCAGTCCTCAGCCTTGATATTAATTGATCAGTCCCTCAGCCTTGATATAAATGTGATCAGTCCTCAGCCTTTGATATAAAGTGATCAGTCCCCAGCCTTGATATAAAGTGATCAGTCCCTCAGCCTTGATATTAAGTGATCAGTCCCTCAGCCTTGATATTAAGTGATCAGTCCCTCAGCCTTGATATAAAGTGATCAGTCCCTCAGCCTTGATATAAAGTTATCAGTCCCTCAGCCTTGATATAAAGTGATCAGTCCCTCAGCCTTGATATAAAGTTATCAGTCCCTCAGCCTTGATATAAAGTTATCAGTCCCTCAGCCTTGATATAAAGTTATCAGTCCCTCAGCCTTGATATAAAGTGATCAGCCCCTCAGCTTGATATAAAGTGATCAGTCCCTCAGCCTTGATATAAAGTGATCAGTCCCTCAGCCTTGATATAAAGTGATCAGTCCCTCAGCCTTGATACAAAGTTATCAGTCCTTCAGCCTTCAGGAGACTGATAACCTCCAACACCGTCTCCAGTATTATTCTCTGTCTTCCACCGACAAAGCCACTGAAGGGCGAAACGTAACCTCAAAGATACCCAAGTGTTGAGCATGTATTTTTTTCTATCTACTTGCATATATTGTATTCCATTAATATAATACCATACCATTCACCTGTATCTCCATGTATATACCAAGATATATCCCTCACTTGCATATTTTCCCAGTATATTCAACATATAATTTAGAAAACTGACGTACAGAAAAAAACATTTGGTTATACCCTGCATATAATTCTTAGAAAGCACTGGAACTAAGATTCTCACTATTGTGTTACTGTCTATAATTTATGTTACCTTGCATGATAGTAGATGATACGTGGATGATAGGCAGACAGGTGATGCTGGGAAGCAGCTGTGGTAGGGTCCAGGAGGTGCTGGAAGTCCCCAACGCGACTTTTGTTAAGTTTTTTTCGTTATCAAAAAAACCGCTATCCTTACTATCGTTATAATCGAGTCTTATAATCTAGATAACTTTGTTATAGACACGAATATTTCGTTAATAATTCTAGTTACTTATAACTTGAGAATACTGGCCGAAAACACACACACTTGTCGGATACACTTGTTAACACTTAACATACACATTAACTATCTCAGAGAGACAAGATTTTACACTTAGGTGTATATCAAGTGCTTATACACATTTATCCATAATTTAAGTGACCGAAAGCTTCGTTACTATCTGGTTTATAACGTTGAAAGACTCTTAACTACCTGACGGCCATTACGACCGCTCGTTAGCTGACCACCGGCAAAAAATCTAATATTTATACTAATACGACAAATTTAAGCGCTCTACGTATACACAAATACACACTTCTCGATGTATATACACAGATATATATACCTGGATGTATATACATATATACAAACACCTCTCGGTGTATATATACGGAGGAACACGCTCGGGACGTTCGTCCAGGGAAGGGGCAGCCTGACACTGTCCTCTGTGAACCTTGTATTCCGAGACTCGAAGCAGTTCACTGACTCACTGAAATGGCGTTGTGATCCATTTCTTGGTCCTTTTTTCCCGATTAAGCGTTAATTACGGAAAGTACTCTCTTGCATTTATGTATTAATGTATCGTGATTGAGTGTAGTGCGTCATGTGGGTCATGAAGGATGGTACTGACGTTTGTTACGTGTTAAATTAAAGATTCTGAAAAATAAACTTAATACTCGAGTCCGGAGTTGAGTTGCTGGTGAACTTTATAGGGAAGGTATGAATGCGTATGAACACACTCATGCACGCGCATATACACGCGCAAACAAACGCACGGGTCCGTGCATACACACATATACACATTTACACTCACACGCTTCATCACATACACACGAAGAGGCGGGTCCAGGAGCTGTGATTCGGCCCATGCAACCACAAACAGAAGAGTACACCCCCCACACACATCCATACACACACACACACACACATACACACACACACGAGGAGAGGTTAAGGGAAATCAACCTGACGACACTGGAGGACAGGAGAGATAGGGGGGAAATGATAACGACATACAAAATACTGAGAGGAATTGACAAGGTGGACAAAGACAGGATGTTCCAGAGATTGGACACAGTAACAAGGGGACACAGTTGGAAGCTGAAGACACAGATGAATCACAGGGATGTTAGGAAGTATTTCTTCAGCCACAGAGTAGTCAGTAAGTGGAATAGTTTGGGAAGCGATGTAGTGGAGGCAGGATCCATACATAGCTTTAAGCAGAGGTATGATAAAGCTCACGGCTCAGGAAGAGTGACCTAGTAGCGATCAGTGAAGAGGCGGGGCCAGGAGCTCGGACTCGACCCCCGCAACCTCAACTAGGTGAGTACACACACACATATATAAGGTCATATCTCCCTCTATAATGGTCAGTCACCTCTATCCCTCCTAACAGGTGACCATCACTCAAGATCCTATAAAATGACTTAGTGAAGACAGATGGGATAGGAAGGATGGGAGGCTGTGACAGAGAGGATGACAAAGGATGGGATAGTCCTTAGGGACAGGATGGGAGTTGAGAGCCGTGAGGAAATAGGATACTGTGAGAAATGAGTAAGGGATGATGTAAATAATAGGGAGTAAGGTGTATGGATGTGATAATAATAATAATAATAATAATAATAATAATAATAATAATAATTATCATTATTATTATTAATGTTACTAATACATACCGATTTGCACTGCAAAATTTAATAAGTGCATCAATTTATACATATATACATGCTGCCTTAATGACCCTCGTGCAGTCGATAGGCTTGAAACTCTTCCCCCTCAGTCAACCCAGTGGAAAAATTATCATGGGAAGCGATAAACCCGTAGGGATTATGCAGCGCCAGTGGATGGAAGGTATTCAGGCATAATTTAGGGAACTGGAGCACAGATCCAATTCCCTAGATCAAAAGCCTCTCACCAGGGTCAAGGAACCTTCCTTGAGGGTTAGGGGGGGGGGGCATTTCTCACTATTTCCGAAACACTGTCTTATTCCTTACCATTCCCCAGTCTTTCACCATTCCTTACTATCTACCCATCTCTTTCCATTCCTCACACATCCTCCACTTCCTTATCCATTCCCAAACATCCTCCACTCCCTAACCCATTTCCACACATCCACCACTCCCTAACCCATTCCCCACACATCCTCCACACCCTAACCCATTCCCCACACATCCTCCACTCCCTAACCCATTTCCCACACATCCACCACTCCCTAACCCATTCCCCACACATCCTCCACACCCTTACCCATTCCCCACACATCCTCCACTCCCTTACCCATTCCCCACACATCCTCCACTCCCTAACCCATTCCCCACACATCCTCCACTCCCTAACCCATTCCCCACACATCCTCCACTCCCTTACCCATTCCCTACACATCCTCAGCCACCCATTTCAATGACACGCTTATTCATCTCAGAAATTTCAACACATTTCACAACTCATTAGCGCTGGATCCTCGATACATCATCAGGACGGTTTGATAAATTTCCTCAGTGGCACGAAAGGGCTCTCCACTTCTCTGCAGTGCCTACCAAGTGGTTGGTGCTGAAGGTGGGTGGTATTAAGTGGAAGTGGTCTTCAAAGGGACCGCAAGCCAATTAGAATGAATCCTCAAAAGGGTTGGAAAACACTTAGAGTGAGTTTCAAGGGGCTGTAAGCCCCTTAGAATGGGCTCTAAAGGGATGCTGAAAGCCCCATAGAACGAATTTTCAAGGGTTTGCTGCATGTAAGTCACTTAGGATTAATTCCAACAAAGTGTAGACAACTTTCGTAATCAAGGGGCTTTTATCCACTTAGAACTAATACTCACGTGACTGCCAGCCACTTATAATACGTCCAAAGGGCTACAAGCCTCTTAGAATGACGCCCCTTCCCTTAAGAGTCCCAGGACCCCGTCCCAATACACGTCCCATTATGTCTCAAACCTTTCTCTTCCAACTCCCATTAATATCACTCTGTCACTCTTACCATAATGCTACAACTACCTTACAACACATCCATCCACGTCCCATCTGCCACCTGGTCAGGTAGGCTGAGTAACTGGAGCCCAGGAGTGCTCCAGTAGGCCTACTGGACCATCGACCATAGATGAAAAAAGCCCCATATGTAATTGTAGCATTGTGGCATCGTTTCGCTCCCCAGCAAATAATTTCAGCTGGAGTTAGATATCAGCTACCAGCTCTGATGTCACAAATCACTGGAATTCCAAAATTACACACGTTACTCTTAATAACCTCGAGATGACATCAAAACATCAATTTCTCCTCTCGTTGACAAACATCACATGAATATAGATTAACACCTACGTCCCGCTGGGCTGGAAAAACCAGCAAAAGTGCAGTATAATGTGATCCTTTATTGACAACGTTTCGCCCACACAGTGGGCTTTACCAGGTTACAAACAGATTTACCAAACTAAACAGTACATGAATAGTGTGGAGAGTCAGCATTCTTCACCTGACTCTCCACCCCATATACACTAATGTACTGTTAACCCAGGAAGATCTGTTTATGACTTGGTAAAGCCCACTGTTTGGGCGAAACGTAGTCATTTAATACCTTTTAATTGATGAATGGTTCAGAGAACCGACATCTACAAACCTGTCAGACACTGCAACTTCTTGGGATCATAATACTTGGGAATTCTTCACTTGCCTAACCCTTGGGCACGACCTACTTCCACATTGGGCAAATGTGACACCACCTACGACTGCTGCACCTCTTGCCTAGCCCTTGGGCACGACCTACTTCCACATTGGGCAAATGTTACACCACCTACGACTGCTGCACCTCTCCTGCCTACGGTTTATAAGCTCCTTCTCCGCACTTATGCCGTATTCTATTCAAGATTGATGGACTGACCACATCGACTCAAGGTTAAGGGACTGATTACCTCATTCTCCTCCTGTTCTTCAAGATTCTCCTTTGTATGGACTGATGAAGCCACTGTGTGGCGAAACGTTTCCTCAATAAAGATACCCAAGAGTTGCACATGTGTCTAATTTATCATCATACCTTTTAATGTCCATCATCCCATTAAGCTACCGGAATCTCGCAGCGACCCAGAGAGAGGTGACTGTATAAATCACTACCTTGGGACTAGCACAGTTCTGGAACCCACGACTTAAAACTAGTTATTTCATCTAACGAATGGAAAAGGGTCCCAATCCTTTACATCAATGGGTACCTAGCCTTCGGTTTCTAGGTAGACGTCCATGAACGCTTTTCTAGCCATACCTAGCTCTCAGTAGTAGTAACCAGTTACCAGTCTCAGTAGTAGTAACCAGTTACCAGTAACCTGTCCGTTGACTCAACGACCAACCGTCTTGAGTCACGGTCTTTCATATTGTGCTGAGCTGACACTATTTCAAAAGACCCACTACGGGGTACTGGCCAGCCGGCTAGTCAGTTTTACGAGTGTAACCAAAGAGACAGGTAACGGCTGCGGGCTCCCTCCACATAACAGCAATTATAAGTAATAACAGCCTACGTGAGTATATCTACCCTAATCCACGTATCGAACTCCCACATGATAAATGGTGTACAGCGGTGTGGAGCGTGGATTTACGTTTTTAAGGGTAATTCAAGGCGTTTGACGACTGTTGTGAGTAGCCGGCAGGGTCAAAGGTGAATCTCCAGCCAGAACCGCCCTCCCCTCACACCCTCCAGCCAGCCGCTTATACCCTCACAACTTCATCCTGCAAGCCTGTTGCAGCCGTTTCAAGCTTCCTGGCTTAGTTCGTGTGCTAATTGCTTCAATCTCCGAGGGGTTGACCCGGATTTTGCAATTAAGCCAGTCAGTAAGCCAGACTGTGGAAGTAACGCCTGTCAGCCATATCATCCCAGCCTGTTCCTGTCATCCACTGCTCCTCGTCTTTTGTGCATCGTTCAACGTCTTCCAGTCTTCCATTCTCGTGGGGTAAGCCAGCCACCAACCCGCGTCTCTAACCCAGCTGAGAGAGAGATAAGCCCCACGCAGTAAGACGTAGCCAAGCTCCTCTGAGGTATTGTCTATACGCTTTGGGTCTACCCTGTTGTATCAAATAGTGGTTTTCACCATTCTGTGTGCATAGAGTGGGTTAAGCCACCTTCGGGGGAGTGGAGTGAAGCGCGTCCGCCCCAAGAGTCTTCTCCCTCCCCACCATTCCTCACACCACCCGGGGTGCGCGGTCAGAATGCATCCACACCACCACCACCAACCAGCCATCCACGTCATCTACCTGTGTTGTTTGACCCGTGTATTCGGTCCAGTACTGATTTCCCTCACATAATTGTTCAAGAGAGTGTAGCAGGTGCCACCGATAAAGCCAGTAAAGGTGGTTCGCACTAGAACGCACAATTCGTCACGACAACATGTGATGGAGAGGTAAACCCCCCCCCCCCGTCACCAGAAATTTCCGCCCGCCCACAGGACAACAC